AGTCCGAAGGTCTTGCCCAACCGTCTCTGGAGAAAGCCCTGTCATCGCATTCGTATCCTCCCGCTCTGTAGCACGCGACGCTTCCTCATTTGATGCTAACACCGCCGCTTGACTCCGTGTTCTCATCGGAGAATGTACCGTTGCCATTTCACTTAATTTTCACCCTTCACTTTTCACACGCGGTCAGATATCTCAAATTTTCCGTCTCGCGGATCTCGGACGATCGTTTTCCGACGACTTTGTTATTTACAGATTCCGGATGTTTTTTTTTTTTTTTTAAATCCCGGACGAGCCCCCAAAATGTTACGCTCGCGCGGGGAAATAAAACGAAACAACGTTAACAAGAAAACAACTTCAACTATATTTACTATTTACAAGGGAACACACGTAACTCGCAGACTTAAGCTCTCTCTTTCGTTAAAGACCGTCGCGCACGTCACGACGACTCAACGGCCCCAAAGAGAATCTTTCTAACCCGTTGTTTATTAGTCAACGCTGATCATCTGTTGTTTACGACTCGTTGCTAAGAGAATCTGCTGTATGTTCAAGGCGGTAAAGGCGCGGGCATCAAGACACGGGCGTAACAGTATAGTGAGGGGAAGTGTCTTCCAGTAAGGCGAAGTAGATTCGTTTATCCTGATTTACTTGCAATGTTATTCTTATCAGTTAATTGATAATGATTTATAAGTTGTTGAATTAACTCTAGGTGAAACTTTGCAATTGAAATTTGTTTGCGACTTTTTAACTTATATAGGCAATAAGCGTTCCAAATGCAGATATCGATTAAGTGTAAAAAATATTTTTTATACCACTTCAAAGCTTTGCGTTGTGAGTGAATTGTGCTGATAACCATGTCGGTTTTATCCACAGTTCCCATCAATCTATTGTAGTCGACAACACACTTTGGTTTTTTAATCATTTCGCGCGTCCGGTAATGACGTTTCGTATCAACAAATTCTTCATTATGGAAAGACGATAGCATGTACACTTCCCTTTTGTCACACCATTTTATTGCTAATAAATGCCTCGAGGAGCGAAAACTCGCTTCACCAATTTTTAATTTATTTTGGATAATTGGCATGCCCTTTCGTCTTTTCCGTACCGTTCCACAAGCGTTAGTTACATTTTTATGTAAAAGGATAAAAAGTGCTGGACGTACATATCAATTGTCTGCGTATAATGTATGGCCTTTGCCTGAATAAGGTTTCAATAATTCCATGACTATATTTCCTGATTTTCTGATAAATTCATTTTCGCAGCGTACAGTAGTCAATGATCCATTATAAATAATGAAATCTTGCACAAACCCTTCGGGTATCACACATTGGGTATCACACAAAATAAACGATTTGATCCCAAATCTGTTTCTTTTGGAAGGAATGTACTGTTTGAACGATAGTCTTTCTTTATAAAGGAGTAAACTTTCGTCAGTACATAGATTTTCAAAAGGATGAAATGTCTTCTGAAAACTTTATCGGAGCTTATCGCAAATTTCTCTTATTTTATATAAATTGTCAATATTTGCCGGTCACATTGTTTGTATTAAAATGTAAGATTTTTAACAAATATAAAAATCGATCCCTACTCATGACTTCTCCAAAAATTCTGCTCTTCAAAAGATTATCGTTAGACCAGTATTCAGAATATGATAGTTTTTTATTTCGCGACATTAATAATTTGACGGCGAGGAAGCAATACATTTCTGGGAGAGATGTATTCTGGGAATTTATCGTATTATTATTTTCATCAAGGCTACTGCGATAATTATTTGTCGTGCCGACAATGAAATTTATAAAATCTTCAGAGCAGAATAATTGAAAATAATCTAAAACTGGGACCAAATAGCTAATTGAAGCTTTTATTCCCGAATGCTTAGAATTGAATTTATGAATAGTTGGTCGGAATAATTCGTAGTCTATGTTATTTCTATGATATCTTTTCCAGATTCACTTGAAGTATCTTCTTCGCATTCGGATGTGCTGGATCTGATTTCTCGGAATCTTTTATTATTTCTATTACGTCTCTCTTGTGCCAAATTTGAATTTATCTCGTCACCTTCTGACAGCTCCGAATAATTCTGATTTATGTCAATATGTATTTTTCTTTTATTTGTCATCATTTCAGGGGCGGGATAAAATTTGTTTAGAAATAATTAACCTAAATAAAGTTAAACAAAATTGAAAAACAACAAAGCATACCTTTTTATCTGTTGTTGGTAGAAAAGTACGGTTAATTATATTTCTGCAGTAAGCACCAACTTTATTCGCTATGAACAATCGGACAGATATGTCGAGACTGATTCTTGAGGCATTTGATTTGTTGAGTATTGAGGTGTTTTGTTCATGAGAAACAAATGATGCGAAACAAAACACTAAAACACGTCCCGAGAGTCATACTTGATGTGACACAACTACATTTAGCGTTTATCGCTATTTAAGAAAGAACTTGTACACAGAAACAATGCTGGGGCGTGTGAAATAAATGTAGAAACTTTAATTGGTTTAACAAAATCAAAATTCGCGCACGAGGGGTACGATGGCGTCGATGGCGAAGAAGGCCGACGGGAGTCTCTTAAGATATGAGAGAAACCCGAGCGCGTCCGCGATGTTTGGGGTTTCAAACAAGAGTGAATGGAGCCGCAGAGCAAAAAATAAAATAACATGTAAAACAAAATAAGAAGGAACAAATATGGGTGCGAAAACAAACCGTTGCCTTGATTACTAATTTGTTACAAAATTATGATTGCCGCCGTTTGTTTCAACCGCCACATACATATGCTCGTCGTATCTACAATACGCGGCATTTTATGGAGAGCGACTATAGTCGCCCGTAGTACCTTAGTGGCATCTTATAGAGGGCGACTATAGTCGCCCATAGTACCTCAGTGGCATCTTATGGAGGGCGACTATAGTCGCCCGTAGTAGCGAAAGGGTTAATAATTGAAGTATGTATAATTTATATTAATAATTTACTGACAGATATCTGAAGAAAATAATTGTTCTTAACTTCATTATATTAACTGTTAATCTGTAATTAATTTAGATAATATTTTTGCAGAAGTAACTTCAAAACTTGCTATTAAATTATTTCAAATTGAATGCAAGTGAGGACAGACATATCAAACTATTCTGTTTCGCGTAAATAGCACTCTGTTCAAAATTAAACAAATAATACATATATATTTGTCATTACTTGTGAAAGAATACGAAAAAATTATATTTTCATAATAATTATTGATTTTCAAATGTGGTTCTCTGACATGGTTAATTTGCCAATCACCAACATTGTCCTCATCATCCTCATTATTGAAGAAAGCATACTACAAGAGAAATACATCCATCTTTATACGTTCCCTGTGTTCAGTAACAATTTAAATAGATATATAATAAAATATAAATAGATTATTGCGGTTTGCTGAATTAAATTAATGAGAAACTGTATAAACCATATTTTGAACTAATTTCGACAAATAAAACTTCAACGGTTTTTTGTAAAATAGTATTTATATAAAATATATATAATTCCATATTGTTTTTACTTTTTACGTTGTATATCGAATTCAGTCGCCCTGCCCAGGGCGCGGGGCGATAAGGTAAAGGGCCATATTATGGAACACTTTATGAATAGGAGTTGTATATTTTATATTATTTAAAAAAAAGTAGAGTTGAAAAATTCAATTTTTTCGAGTTAATTGTTTACTTGATATCTACTAAAGCGATAAAAATAGTTATGAAGTGGGTTTTAATTGAAAATATTAATAAATTAAAAAAAAAATGATAAATATTTGTGTCCGTATTTATGGAACAGTCTGAAGCAGNAGATATATCCTATATTATGGAACACAAAATGGACTGAAACATTTAGATTAAAAAATTTTTTTTCAGTTATCAATTTATTTTTCCATAGTATCAAAAATTGTTAAATATCATTATTAAGTATTAATACAGTTATATTTAAAAATTAAACGAATTAACAAACAATAAATATACATTCACTTACAAAAGAAGTATGACAAGAATAGTTTCGAATCTTTGGATGAATAATTAAGGAATAAAGACAAGACGTATTTAAAATTTAACTATTTCGTTTCTTCTTTGATTTTTTGTTGTATTGCTTTCATTTTATCTTGCAATTTTTTCCGTTCTTCAGCTAACAGTTTCTTCTCTTCTTGTAATTGTTTTCTTTTTTGTAACTTTTCTTCTTTTATTTTTCAATCATTTTCTTTTTTGGAGTGATATTGCATCCACTGATCAGATGTACCAGCAGAAGGTAGTTTGGGTTTGCCTGATATCTCTAGTTTAATTCTTTTTTTCTTGGGTAAGTAATTAGGTGGCATCGTAAAAGCGTTGTCAAAAGGGTTCCCAGCATCAGTTTCAACTGAAAAATATCAAAAATATTATTATTAATGTTAATGTTTCTTTACAGTAATTTTTAAATATTATTTTACTAACTTTTATTAGCAGATATAGAGTCATTCTCTTTGCCAATAACTGATTGACTAAATGTTTGACATCTTTGAACCTCTGAATGTTTGTCGATAGTTGGGGTAGCAAAAGCAGCGGTAGTAGCAGTTGTGATAGCAGAAGTAGTGTCAAGAGAACCTGAAGAAAAAATATTTTTTTATACTTAAATCCATATTAAGTATGAAGGATTGTTTTTTTAATTTGTTTACAAACCTGTTTCATTATCAGTATC